AGCCACAGGGTAGGCCATGGCATAGGCCACGTTTTGTCCACACCCGGTGACACCGCACCACCTATTATTTGAAGTGATAGTTTTTTACCTTATCTGACCTTGCCTTAGTATAGTATGTCACACCTTTTAGAGTCTTGGTTTTCTGATCACAAAGTACAATTGAGCATTTGTGCCACCCTAACCACATCCCAGAAGGCCGAATAACACGCGTATAACACGCTTAATATGCCTGTAAGTTCAACTGTAGTTTACTGGTCATCCTCCCTTGGACCGCTCCAGAAAATATAGGTACATGAAAGATGGTGAAACTTTGTGAGCGCAGAAAAGCTCCGAAAAGTGTCCTAACAAAAGGATACAAGTTTTTCGTGGAAGTATTTATCCTTGAATTTCAAGGCTCGAGGAACATTTTGCAGCTTTTTCTATTGTTTTTGTTCCCCTGTATTCACGTCTATTAAAGGCAGTTTGCATCTCTGCTTTTAGTCAGTACCAAGCCCGAGAACGAAAGGAAAGGAAAAGAAAGTCCTGAGAATCCTTAGACGAGGAATCCTTAGCTTTGTCAGTCCTCCCGGCCCTACCCTAAACCAGCGTAGGGATCTTGCCCGCATCACAGGTGGCCCGTGTTCCCGTATCTAGTGTACGTGACTCGGTGGTGATTAAGGCGTCAATCTAAAACACATCAAAACGGCCTCAAATCGCGAGGAGAACCACACAGACTACTCTCTATGAAGGTAAGACTTTATTTCTTTGATTATTTCGCACAACTTTACATTTACAGAGCTCAAAAGCAAGTCCAACTAAACCACTATAGAAACTCTTTAATAATCCACTATGAATTAAAGAGCCTGTGACAGAGCTTTGGCCACCTGTGCCTGCAAAAGTGTTGATTAAACATGTTTATCTATCTGTCTATCTATTTGGAGTGCAAGTGTTGTAAATCTTTCTAAAAAGAATGAAGATCCACATCAAGTTAAGGTCAGTGAAGATGCATAGCCTCAGATATTGCTTTAAAATCATACTTACTTCAGCTTTTAGCTCTGAATAGAATACCAGCTAAAGAACAAAAAAAGAGTAACATTGTACACTTCTACCGGCAACAATATCCCCTGTTGGTTAATATTGAGAAATTCCATGCTCATCATGATTTTGTGGTCATTTTAGAGACCTCTAAACCGAATTCTCAATATAGTATATAATGTGTATATGTAAATAGGTAAATGAATTAATAGCACTCATTATGACGCTCCCAAGCGTTACCCCGCTCCACCCCCTGACACCTGACACCCATGGGCCTGTAGCGGTTATGTTAGACCGTCTATCGTATTTCAGACCACATAGTGGGCTTTTGCGCCCGCGTGGAAAATGACTGAGCACGTATGACTTTCCCGTCTTGTTTGGACCCATATTGTGAAATCATTTCTGAGAGTGTTCGGACTGATTTAGCGATTTTCAGTGGTTTTCAGGTCAGTAAACAAATGCCCAATAAGACCATGTATCTCCAAGATTATCTAGTGTAGTGAACTGTGCCTCAACCTTTGGTTAAAACGCACGGTTTCAGAGCCTCATTTTTGCCTCTTGATTCAGCGATGACTGACTTTGGCATAGCAGATAAATCATGTGTCACAAGACACGAAGGAGATGTTATGAAACTTGAAATCTCATCCTACGAATTATCTTAGGGATAATATATTCAAACAAGACGGTTTCAGTGCTGCAGCTCTTTGAGATCAGTGACGACTGATTTTGGCAAAGCAAGAAGAATGTTACAAAAGATATAGGAAGAGCTATTAAATTCGAAAATTTACCACACTAAGTCGTTTTACCGAAAAAAAAGCTTTGATTGTTTGTAATGAGAAATAACACCAGAACTGAAACAGAGTGCAAGAAGGCGCGAATTATGATCAGCTCAAATCGTTCGGCGCTTCTCTCTTTATCATCATCCTAGATACTGTGTCATTCTTCATCCATCGAAAGTGATTTTCACAGATGTTACAACTTTAAAATCGTTGTCTTTATTTTGGTTTTGTCAAAACTTAGTCACTCTAAATTGAAGATCAAATATTTCATGGTATGTCAAAAAAATTCTTGGAATAATTAATATAGCGCGGCATCGATCTTGGCATTTCACTTTTCTAGCAGTTGACACAGCTTAACCAATATTATGATTTTTCAATCTCAAAAACGTGGGCTAGGAAACTCCTCAAGGCAGATACGTATACAATAATTCCTTAATTTGAGGGTCCCTCTAAGAGGAGAAAATATCTTACGTGATGGTTTATTTTAATTTAGAAATCGTATCGATGTCTTTCCTGTTTTAGTATTTATTAAGAGTTACAAATAGCCACGCGGTTCCGTCTTCATATGCAAATGATGATATTCGCCGAAACGTTAACCGCGTTGCGTTTGATTCTATTTATGTTTTTTTTCCCTAAAGATCAGCTGAGAGAATCCAATTTAATGAAAACAGTTCCTTTTTCTAAGGAAATGTAGGTAATTTTGTTTCATGAATTTTTCGGGTGAATGAAGTATTAATCTTGCGCTCACAGTTTATCTGTCGTCCTGCAAAACAAAACAGGACGTGTTGTTTCGACATATCCGTCCTAAGGCTATATCTATATCCGTTATATATTAGCACCTACGTTCGATAAGAATTTCCTGTGCCTTTTTGAAGGCAAATGTTGTAACATGATGCGATATAGCTGCATGTCAGCTTAAGCCTACCGTTTTGCAAGAATTTAAAAATGGAGTATAGAGCCACATTTTGGTCTGAAATCAAGCCTTCAAGAGGTGACATTAAAGCCAACTATCTATTATTTCAAGAGCACCGTCGGCTTAAAGTGGCTCTTGACTTAAGGGAGCACTGTGATATTCGCTTGTGTATTACACTCGTGTTTGGTTATTGACCCATCAAGCTCACCGAGCAAATTTGACTAAAATGGTTCTTTAATGGAATTGAACCCCTGAACTGTCTAATCCAAAACGGTCCGCGTTAGTCCTTGTTAATCCATGAAAAACTGATCCATCTTCGATCACGTGATGCGTGAAAAGTACGAGAAATTCCGCTGACACCGTATCAACGTTATACAGTCGGGGAGGACGAAGTGTTTCCGATTTGTGATGGCCGAGGAAAAGGCCGAAATAGCTAAAGTCGCATGGCGCTATCTTACGGAAACGTACTCAAGATATTTTGCATTTAGAAAAGGAAACACTTGAAAGCTAACTGAGTCATGGATTTGTTATCAAGAGTTATTAAACCGTTCATTTTGTAACGTTCATAAGCCATTACCGTTGCGGAAAACTACGAACTTCTCATATTGTAAAGTGTTGTAGTTGCATTCTCGCTGGTTGTTTGGGCGATTACAGCACCAGGGTCACAGCTATTATGCAGCTTGGCTTCTGCCTTTTTTCGTCCCTTAAAACAGTTATCCAATAGTCGGACTTGGGAACAGTTTCAAGCTAACAGCTAGAAATTCCCTTCTGATTTGAAATGCTGACGGTAAATACGAGATAGTTTGCTTTAATCAAGGCTTAGTTGATAATGTAAATTGGCCCCCACCGGACAGGGTATCTAAAGCCGACGTTTCCAGTGTTAGCCCTTCGTCAGGGCGAGGTATCCTCCACGAAGTGGGCTAGTCCAACGATTATAAAAAGATGTCTTTTTTTTCGTCTTGTCACACACGCAGGACGAAGAAAAAATTCTGAGTTTCCATGAGGTATTGACTAAACCTCACGCCTTCGAATTTCGCGCCCCGATGCTCTACCACAGAACTCACTATCACCAGCTTCAAAAGTGTTAATTTTGTTTTCACAGCTGAGTTGTAGCCTTCGTGTAGCCATACCCTCCCCTCAAGGAGAAATGGGGGGGAGGGTACCGCAACACGTAGGCCACCGAGTTGATAAAGGCACTGTATAGAGTTTCTAAAACTGACGTTAAGAGCGCAAGGCCTTTGTCAAAACATACGTCTTTCCTTCAGCTAGGATCGACAAAGTCGAAAGTGTATGGCAAGAAATTAGAAAAAACAAATATGGTAAATTTGGAGCTGACGGATGAAATAAGGGAACATGGTTCGTTTTCTTCATAAAAGTCATAAAACCATTCTCTTACGTGAGAGTTTTGACAACGACTTTCTGCTCACTATTTATAACTAGATATTGCCACATACTTGGAGGTCGGAAAGATTTATCATGTGAGACGGAAACCACCCATATTCAAAAAGAAAATTACACCCATTAAATCCCACTTTCCACGCACTGTTGAGTAAGTTTCAAAGACCTCTTTAGTTCGCGCTATTCATTAAAAGATTCTTATGCGCTCAAACGTCAACCTTAATTACAGTTCAAAAACACCGAAAATCTGTTTTTTAACTGTTCAATTCCGTTAGATACGCAAAATGGCTTATTCCGGTCCGTTAGCTGGAGGCTCTACGGTCGTATACTGCTTATCAAAGTTCAAAACAATTTAAGTCCAAGCTATTTTGCCAAAGTGAATAAACAACAATTCTAGAAACACACGCAGGTTGTTTAAAAGACTTGTGAGAAATAATGGTTGGATAAACTTTTTTTTTAAATTGGTATTTTACAAGCCTAGTCGCATATCTGGCAGAAAGTGTTATCAGATATTTAACTGGCCAAATCTTATCGCACTCGCGCTAAGAAGCATTTTCCAGTCTTCACCCCGTGCATGCAAGCAATTTTTGCAATGCTTTAAAGTCCTCCTTCTATTTCTCTTGTGAATTTCAAAGAATCACGCATTGTTATTATATTACCGTCTTAAAATAACTGGTTGGTCAAGTGGAAAGTTCTCAATTCTTGAACAGATTACCTCCCTCTGTCATTAGCGGTCAACACAAGACGTAGAAACCCCCGCTAGACAATAACTTGGCGGCGAAGGGTCCGATATCAGCATTGATACCTATTCAGGCATTGGTTTTGTTTTACCACAAAGTCAATTAGTCTGAAAACGCAAAATTTCGTGATCTATCTTAAATAGTATGTTTGTTTAATAAGGTCGTTCAGGTTTTTTGTGAACATTACTAGCCACGATTTGAATTAGCCTACGTGACGAACCGGTTTTCTCTATAGTACAGTTTCTGCTTTGTTTGTCGGTTCGGCAAATTGGTTCAGGAAATTACTCCCGCGTAGCACAGTTCCTTGTACGTGAAACGGCAACAGCTTTTGGCGCTGAAAAGATTTATTATTCAGTACAAAAGTGATCTAAACTTTCTAGGCCGCGTCACCCTTTCAAAAATAACAATCACCAGGGTGAGGAACTGAAAGAAATTTAAGGTAAGTTTAACGGTAATAAATAAATGGAGAGGGTACGTGTAACTTTTGCGAAAAGCTGAAAGGAGAAAATAATTTCGAATCGTTTTTAATTACATACTTGAGTTGAAGACATACCTTTTTTAGAGAGACGTTCTTGTAATGGGCTTAGATTTAACATTTCGTTTGTTTTCAATGCTTTTCCAATGAATAATTCATAACGACTCGACAATTATTATCTTGACGTTGAAGATCATTAAAGGATACGATCCAAGATGAAAAATTGGGAGGTTATTAGTTATTCGGATCAGTTGAGAAACGCTTTGCAGGTTCTGACATAGAGTAAGAAATGGTTAATTTGCGTGTAGTGCAATCATCATGTCTTTGAAATACGACCATAAACAAAAAACAAACGACAAAGAAAACGTGACTACGATCTACTTTCTTTTACTCCATGGCTCGACAATCGATACTACGCTTTATCGCAAGGAAATAAGTCAGTCTCGATTACGTTGACTAAGTGGCAGCTAACTGTTTGCCACTTTAGCAATGTACACTGCTATGTCTAAACAGGAGTGCGTTTAACCGAAGTATCCGTTATTTTTTCACGATAATGTTTAATAGAACTCTTGAAAAAAAATAAAAGTTCAGAAATGTTGGTGGTGGGCGGTGTTCAACACTGACTCTTCCGGCTGACCTCAAGTAAACAAGCTACTTCAGGATCAACACCCCGGTTTTGTTTCTCTTGACGAGGTTTAAGTTGTTTTCAGGCTTACGAAACAAAGAAGACGTTTATGGTTTAAGTTCAGCAAACGTGGGAAGCTTTTAATCCTCCTCAAGGGAATAAAACCAGTCCCAGCGCAAATCATGCAATTTTACAAGAGAAATACAACTAGATCAGGGATCTTTTAAACGTACTAGTTTTATGGTGAGAAAAGTGTATTTTTTTTTTTGGTTTTTTTTTGGTTTTTTTTTTTTTACCTTCTGTCTTAGACGCCGAGGGCGAAATGTGCGTTAATTGCCAAGGTTTGTTCTCTGTTCGACATCGATAAGTATTATTGTTGAAAGATCACCCTCTCCTGATCATGTCACCAGTTAATTGCAGAAGCAACCTGTTCTAGAAAAACCGGCCAAAAATAGTCCCATTTTACAGCTCCCACAAGTTATGCAAGAAACTTGGTCGATTTCAATGATGCAGAGTAATATAACACAGAGAGATATGTAGGTCCTAACCCGTACCTCGAATTACAACTTTTAGAGTTCTCACTGCCTCAGCTGAAAATCCCCATAAAGACTTATCATAGCTATATTTCTAAATAAACACTAGAGCTTCCGTTCTCCTTCGGCAAAAATGTTGCTTCCGAACCATCGAATGTCTGATGTTGAATTGCTCATTTTGTAATTTTGGAACGATTTTAAAGTGCTATTCTTTTAAGTGTGTTTTCTCGCAGGGCTTGTCGACCGCTGCAGTCATCGACTTCCCTCAGCGACACATGTAAATACCTGAAATATCTTTTTGCAGATTATTGACACAATCTTAAAACCCAGATCATATATAAAGTTATCTTTCAGCGCCAAACCTGGCCTGACAAGGGAATCAGATGATTCTTCCGCTTTCAGTTCCGATGATATTTTTTTCAACAGGAGATTGCGCTATTTTATCGTAAATTGTCGAACGGTATTTTATCATGTATTGATAGACTTTCTTTACTCAGTCCGACTTCGTGTCTAGGGCATTTTTTCCCATAAAGTAACTTGAAAAGGGGTCACTTTTAAGCCGCTTTCACTTCAAAATCGCTATCACAAATCTATAGTCTGCCGATTAGCCTCGCAGTTGGTCAGAAGGTCTCCGGAGTTTCTCACCAGACTTTCACTTCCTTTTCTTGAATGTACAAAAACCAGCCTTGCTAAAAAAATTAGAAAAAAGTGACGCAAACTGGAGCAGGAGCGGCTGTAGGTAGGAGCTCTGAAATTTTTTTCTCCTCAGCTTAACTTTGGTCAAACCATTCCATCATATCCAATCAAAATGCGTGCAAACTACCTCTTGCTACTAAATAACGAGCGAAAAAATTGGAGGCTTCTGGTTTAGGTTTTTTGCTTCTTTGTGAAAAAAGTCCCAATTCCTGCAGAGATTAGCCCTTTACCAGCGGAAATCAGCTCTTGGGACTTCGCTGCTTCGCGCAGCTAAAATCTTCTGCTGGCAACTACACTTAGGGGATTCACCCATCCTTCAACTACTTTTATCTTAAGTGGTTAAGATAAGTTCTCTTTGTATTCATAACAAAATTTTCACGGGAGGTTAAACACCTCCTCGATAGTTCTCAGACAGTAATTGTTGATGCTTTCTTTGATGCGCAAGAAGAACAAGGCGTCTTTCATGGTCCAAAGTCACGTCGATTTTCTCCATACTGTCGCAGTTGTTCTGGCAGCGCACACAGCAAATTTTTAATTGGATCATTTGCGGCCTCCAGTAGTCGCCAAACGCAAGGTCACCGTTGACGTTCACCGTTCAAGGTCATCATCAACTGCATTGAATTTTATATCTGACATGTGTCCAAATACAAGTGGACGGAGAACTAATTTCAAGTCCTCCTCGACAAACAACGACATTTCGTGCAATCACGACTAAGCCAACAACAAACGGTGACCTTAAGTCGAGATTAAGTTGAACAGATCAACAGTATTACTGACAATAACGCGTGTACTTTCCACAAAAAACCTCAAAACATTTGCGTTACAGCGACGAAAGATTAAGTTTATTTTTTGACGTCATCATACGTCAACATTTTTCATTTGTGTGTCTTGCTTGTATTCTTTTGTGCGCTCAATCACACGACACAGGAAAAACAAACAAGCATCTTGATTTGCATTCTGGTAATAGCTTAATTCAACTCTCCATCTGATAATACGTACGATAGGGCATATGAGTTGCGGCAAGCGGGCCAGTACATTGAGGCAGCTGTTATACATACTCTGCTTTCTCCAACAGGGTCAACGTCGAAGAACATCAATATGGCCACACTTGAGCAACTAAACCACCAAGAATCGCTTCTCAAGCAAAAAGTAAGTGCAATTGTTTTGTTTTAGCAGCAATCAATCGTTCTTATGGCTGCGAATTTTAATATGTTTTGCCAGAGATGGCTGCAGGCAGTTCACAAGATCTGATCTATAAACTTTTAAAATACTAGTGTACGGGGCACCGTTAGAAACGAGTGAATTGCAACTAAAATTACCAGAATACTTCCACGAAACCATGTGCTTCTTTTATATTGAGGGAAATTTAAGTCGAGCCTCTTTTTCGAGGGTTTATACTTGACTGCACATTACTGAGTCGAAGGCCTTAGCTGCAATTAGGGTAAGAAACATACCATTGTATCAAAATATGTTGTATGCATAAATACCACATTTGATTGAGACTATAGCTCTCGGTAACGTTGGTTTGTATTTTGCGTAATTGTCTATGGGGCTTTATAATACCGTCTTCTGATAACCAGTACTTATTAAGGTTAAACTAAACAAAATAGACACGAAACAAACTTAAAATCGCCGCACTACGAGAGCTACTCGCATCGCTGGTTTGCCATGACGGCCACCATTCCGTTAGATCGTGTTTCATCGTTCCATAAACTTCTGTTTTCTCCGGTGGAGAACACTGAGACGCTGGCGATAAAACATGATAATGGTTCAGAACAAATGCTGACCCACGCTGCGAAGCAGTTATTTAGATTTACATACGACCTAGATTGCGTGTGATGTAAATAAACTATTTGTTACTACTGGTGTTCTATGGACTGAGTGTCGTTACCCTGTAGTGCGAGAAAGATGAATCGATGCTATCGTTAAGTTCGGTCTTTTGCTAGTATTTCTTTTAATCAAAGGCATCAGGATTTATCGCTTAATTAGGCTCATCTCCATGTAATTGTGTAAATGTTGATTGTTCATTTTAATTTTCACAGTTTTTTCCCCAACCCAAAGTTTTCTTCTTGCACTACAGCGCAATCCGATTAATTATCATAGTCGACGCCTCGGTAGAATTCTCTAATCCAAATTGACCTTGTGTGGTACTTTCGGACAGCTACCGGTCTATGCGGCTACAATGAAAAATTCCATCGCGATAGGTTGAACAAGATTCGTGTTAAGTGTCACTTAGAAGTCGAATATTAAACCGCGGTCAATTTGCATTATAAATTACCACGCGTATTGTGTGCGCTTTGTATTGCAAATGTCTCAAATAAGTAATGTGTTCAGTTAAATTGGCGCATTTATCTTTTGGTGAATTTTACATCAGATAATGTTTGATAATTTTAAAAAACTGCTTCTATGCCCTCTTGAATACTTGTTGTGGAATCTTGATCTTTGTCGAGATGAAAAAGCGCCTTTGTCGAGAAATCACTAAGGACTTTATTGAAATGCGCTCATTTTGCGCAACACGCATTTGAGGAAACAATGAACTATTTTTGAAAACGTGAACTATCAAAAGAAAAATAGATAACAATGCTTGAAATTCTTGCCAAGTGCCTACATCAGGAATCTTTAGAAAATAAAATGCTGCGGGCTATAACAGCTTGTTTGATTTTGTAATAAAAGAAAAAATCGGAAATCTTGGAAATTTTCCGCAGCCTCGTAAAACTAGACGACTGCCTTTCTTACATATAGTTTATTTACTTTTACAGAACAATGTTTACTTCTTGCTGGGTTCTCGTCAGGAAGTGTGAAAAAATGTCTGGGTGTTCAACGCGTACTTGTATTCCGGTGGGTGACCTAGTGACCCCTATTTCCTTCAGATCTTTCATGTAAATTTGACCGCTGTGAATGATGTAAAACCTAAGTGTATTTAGAGCTGTTGTAGTCAGACCCGACTGCTGATGTTAAATAAAAGAGTGCTATAAATCCTTGCAGTTGCTTCAAAATCGCATGTACTTCACGACACTCGCTTAAAGTGACGGAGAAGCGTCTGCGAAACCTCTCCTAATGAACTAAACCGCTTTAAACGTAATTACGAAATGCTTTTTATCGAAATTGCCTTAATTATTTTTCATTTGAAAAGTGTTTTTTTTTACAACTTTGTCCCATTGCATTTATCATACGGTTCAAATCTTATCTGAAAGTTATGTAAATAATATAATTTGAGATCTGATTTATAAAGCCCTAATTCGTTTATTTCCCTATAAATCATGATATGGTATAGAATTTCGTATAATCTCTCTCCAAAGCTCATCTCGGATTAATCCTTCCTTTCCTTGACCACAAAAGGCAGTAAAATATTTTTGTGACACGCTGAATTGACATCAATAGAAATATTTCGTTATGTTCTTTGCACTGAAAAGCTAGCCGTTAGCAGATCACCACGAAACGCTTGCAATGCTGCCCCAAATTGTAAATCGCCTAGGATAATTTTTACCCGAGAAACTTCTCGGCTCCTTGGCTTTTAAAAGTTTGTGGGAAACTCTTCCAACAATTTCGGTGCAACAGTTATATCTTTATGAAAACCTCAAGAAACGAGTCGTCACTCAAATTCTTGGGAATATTCTGTAACTGATACCATTGTTAAGTCTTCGTCTAGAACCATCGGAGAATTGATGACAATATTTTGAAAAAGATTAGCACAAGTCAATCTGGTAGCTAACACTCTTTTCTTTTTAGAAGGGCGTCTAATTTTGGGGCAGCGGCTGCAAGTTCTTCTCCTTTTTTTTACGATTTGAGCCCGAAAACGTTTTTCACATGTTCTTAACGGTTTATTGTTACAGACCATGTTTGACTACAAACTGAGTTGTTCTTCAGTGTATCGTGCATTAAGAAAACCGCATTGATGATATAAAAAATGTGTCTGAGTTAATAATTGTCTTGTTTTACACTTCTTTTACCTTTATTTAATACTTCTCGCAAAAATTAAATATGAGCCGTTCTTAAATGACTCTCGGCCTAGGTATGTTCTTAGCATGTTCTTAAAAATTTTGGTTAATCCTGGCCTGAACGTTTTTTCTATTGAAAAAAAATTCACGTAAAAAAGAAAAGAGTGTGATACCCTGTACTTTCGTTTTAATTTGATCTCCTGTAGATAGATAATTTGAGCATTATTCCGAACTTATTTAATCATATTGCATTTGTGGGGCCCTTTCTAACTGTCAATCGGTAAGAGGTAATTATGTCGCAGAATTTTATCTGTCAGCACCAAGAGAGCGAAATATTTTAGTAGCATTGCTCTGAAACTTCTCTCTTAAGGAGCATATTTACCTTAGTTTTTGCATTTTGGAAAGGTTTCGAACACTTACAATTTTTATCCGCTTGAATTTTGGCCACTTAACTGGTGCTACCATGATTAAAACATAACAGTTCAGAGAGGGTATTGGCTCAGAAGAGAAAAATAATAAAGCGCTGTGGCTAAATGCAAGTTGACATTCAAAATGTTTTCTATAAATTCTTGATATCTGGGAAGGATTATTCTCCGAGAGCGATCAACTTATTTTTCAGCATAGCTTTGTTTCACCAGAAACATTGTGCGCTATTTTCATTAGCTCTGACGAAGGGCTAACGCTCGAAACGTGAGCATTTTAACTCGTTACGGTGGCCAATTTACTACTCACCGACGCAGCACCACAGTTTTTTTAGAAACTTTCACCCTTTATTCATTTGGGCTATTTTCATTTCGGTGTTAAACCTAGCACTTACTTAATGACAGAACGTCGGATCACCATTTTATCAAAGTACGAGACTGGAATTCAAGCTATCAAGAGTGTTCTGGAAATTATAAAGGAACCATTTTAACTATTTTACGATGATTGAAATTTTTAAGTATCATCAGGTATTTTAGATGGATTAACATGGTGCAGCCCTGTTATCTGAAATGCGGGATTTTAGTAGACAGAATTAGGCTTACCGAAACATTTAACGGTCTTCTGTTTGATATGGCCGTGAAAGGTAGAATTATTTTCCACGAGAGAGTGCTGACTAATTCATGAATGCATTTTTTGGCAGCTTGAAGGAACAAAAAATATCACAGAGCGAAGAAAACTCCGGGCGGAACTTCGATCTGTGAGGGACCAGAAAGAAAAATTGTCAGATGTTAACACCAACGACACGAGAACAACTACCATGTCATCAAAATTTACGATGTCCGTGAATAGCACAGAGAAAAGGAAGTATGAAGAAAGAACCATACGCGTTAACAGAGAGGAAAGTCCAGCAAGGAAAGAGAACGTTGCCCCACAGCAGCCCAGAAGTGCTCGAAGCACGTTTAGTTTCAAAATGACGGATAAAGACGAAGACAACAGCGAAAGTCGCGCAGTTGAAAGTAGTTCATGGAGACGCCAGACCAATCATGTGAATTCCAGTATAGATGAAAAACGACCACGAAAAGAACAAGACCTCAACAACAACAACAGTGATGTGAAAAAGGCCGAGAAAGAGGAATCTCCGAAAAGAGTCTCGCGGCGATCATCTTTGGCAGAATTGTTCAAAATTGAACAGGAAGGGAAGCAGAAACCTACAAACCCTACCCTACCCCCACAGGTGTCAGCTTCCTCGTCACCAGTGCTTAAGCGCTTACCTATGGAAACTCATCAGGATACGAAGACCAAGCAAGACTTGTTACAGAATCTAGGGCGACTTCGTGGCCGGCGAAGGTCCGTTCGTGAGATCGAGAGGAAAGAGGAATTGGAAGGGTTGATGTACGTAAAAAGTGGGGACACAGTCAAACTGGTGAATACCTCACAAGGCGATGAGCAAGTCAAGGAACAGAGAAAGGTCCGGCGTTCCTCGCGGAAAGAGAGTCATGAGAAGCTGAAGGTCGAAGGAAACACTATCAGCAACCGAAACGAAACAGAACTGTCGGCCATCCAGGAGAGCCCTCGATCTCCAAACGCAAAGAAACGATTCGGATTTGGCGATGAAGACAACGCAGCTCAGAAAAGGCTTGAAACGCCAACGCAGAAAGAAGAAGCTCCTAAGGCTAGAATCTGGCAGCCCCCTCCACCCACTGATACAAATGTGGAACCGAGCCGCCCAGGGAGGCAGTGGTCTGCTCCAAGCCCTCAGCGGGTAGGGCCTCCCAGGCCTAACTCATTCCTACCACCTAAAGCAAATGTAAGTTACATAGTAGCAGTACTAATAATACTAATAATGTTAGTGAAAATACTTGACGAGTTTGCTATAGATTCATATCGGCACACAGCGCTAAAATCAAGGTTTATTCAAAAGAGAGTAGTGTTGCTTTGTGACATATTACATCGTGGAAAAGAATTACAATTGTGCAACGATCAATGAAAATTGGCGCCGAGGAGTTCATTCAAAAAGGTGAAAAGTTCTGGTTAGATTCTTCAAGCAATGGGGACTGAAGAAAAAGGGAATCGCTTTGAATAATCTTCAAAATCTGACAGTTGTTAAGAATATTAAAACAAGGAAGACATATTCAATTTTAGAGGGGTTTTTCACAATATTGTGGATTCATTTTATTCGTTTATGATGTTCTCGTAGGAGCCTCCCAAGTTTGGGCGGCCAGGAGGAGGAGCTAACGGTGGCGGAATGGGCTCAGTGAAGGATCGCATGGCTTTCTTCAGAAAAGCTGCCGAGGACGAGAAAAAAGCAAAGGAAAAACAGTTCGTACCAAAATCCCCAACAACGCCTGTCAACAGGTTTACTGCCCCTTCGCCCACCAGTTCCACAGCTCCGTCACAAACAACGGCGAAGCCTGCAACCACTCCAACAAGCCCAACAGAAAAGGTCTCGCTAAAGAAAGCTCCGGATCCGAACAAGGCGTACGTAGAAACATTTAATGAATTTATCTATCGGGGGCGGGCTGGTGGGAGGGGCTGTGAGAGGGGCAGGGGGCGTGTGAAAATACTATCACTCATAGTGCGACTTATAGGAAGTGCGTCAATAAGTTTGAGACGGCTAAAAGTCGAGCATTATCAAACGCACTTCAGTGATTTTGCAGTGATTTTGAGATTGGGTGCTTCAATTACCTTGGGGCAAAGTAAATATATATTAAAAAAACTTTGAAGAAGAATAATAAGTAAAAGAAATAAAAAAAATAAGAAAGTAGTAATTGACGTGAGGCTATCGGTAAAGTATGTCCTTAATTTACTTTGTAGTTGTGTACGTGAGATGTTTAATGCGCCCTCGATTTGTGGCTCGTTTTCGAGTATGCATCGTCTTATTCCCACTTCAATATTTATAATTCAAAACATTTTCGCTCTCTGATCACCACGTCTGTCAAATCAAATCTGTGTCCAATTGCAGTGCTTGCATAACATAACGAATATAGTCGGTAATAGCAGTAGCATTGATATGCTCCTTGTGGTTGTAGACAGGTCGAAATTTTATTCTGGAGGTGCATTTTTGGTAACGCTGTTTTATAAACTATTTTAATAGAAAACAATCCTTATACTGTTCCTTGAAGTGTTTGAGGATGTTGGATAGGAATGCAAATGGTGTTTTTGTCGTTGTTGTTCTATGTACAGTCCAAGGGAATTGAAAAAGAAACCTCAACTCAAACGGCAGATGTCAGTATCTTCGTTGATTTTGACGTGGTGTAAAGATGTCACGCAAGAATACGAGGTAAGAAGAGGCTGTAATGCGTTTCATTAGTGTCACGATATGTATTGAGGGGACAAAAAGGCTCTTGACAGCAGAAGAACTACCGCTACAAAAACACCTAAGGGAGGAGTATGCCTGAGAAATATGAGCGCAATTTGGCATTAAGGGCGTTTAAAGACTCCAAAGAGTAACCTAAACTTTCGGAAATTGTCTTGAAACAAACAAGCCATCTGGAATCTTAAACAAGGAGAAGCTAGGTGGAGAGGCATTCTTAACTCAAAGATTTTTTTTTTTGCAATAACCAGATTTGCAACTGTTTGTAAACCGCTTAGTGTCATTCCAGTTATTTGAGTCGCGTATTATGCTTGTACAGTCAGGTTGCTTAGTTCTTTTCAAAATGGCGGCATCCCTGACCGAATTTTGCGCACATTTGAAGACAATTTTCGATCATCTCCACTGTGTTTTCGTATCTCACCGAACCAACTTTGTGAAATCTCCTTCAATTCGAATTTACTTTTTGTTTGTTGTTGTTTTTTTTCAGGGAGTAAATATCACTAACTTCAGTGGAGCCTTTAGTAATGGTTTAGCGTTTTGCGCTTTGATCCATAAATTTAACCCCGACAAGTTCGACTACAACTCGTTATCCGCTGAAAATAGAGAATACAACTTCAAGTTGGCTTTCGAAACTGGAACGTAAGTTTCAACCCTTTATCGCGTAAAAATCAGTATGCATATTCTCCATCATCTGTTCTCCACGCATTTCCCGACCGGGAGGATTTGCTTCACAATCCTGAGCTTGTTAAGTTAGTGATCATTCCCTTTATTGTCGTGTCCATAATGTGTGATTTGGAGAGGGGGGGGGGATGATATTGTAAGGAGAAATTAGATGCTAGTTAGAGCGTTAACTAATAGACTAAGAAGGACTCCAAAAAGTCTTTCTTCACTTTTTTCCTTACAAAATCAATCGGATTCAATGTAATCCTTTGAAAAACGACCGTGAAAACTAGACTAGTCAAACAATACCTTATCTTCACCGCGGAAAGAACTTACCTTTTGATATTAGGCCAAGTGACATATAACTTTATTAACTTGTTCGGCGTTTTTTGTTGGTAAATGATTTCAGGACATTTCCTTTCCTGACCATCTGCATAGTGTATTCTCGTCCTTTTATTTGGAAAAGGGGGCTATTTAACAAAACAATTATTCCACTCGCGCTTGTTGGATATGAGATGATAGATAGCCAACGAGGCGCTACGCGCCTCGTCGGCTATGATCATCTCATATCCAACAAGCGCGAGTGGAATAATTGTTTTATTAAAAACGCCCCCAAGATATTAGGCAAATCTTTATATTAGACAAATTTTTTAGCTCCCTTTTAATTTTAAGCTAACGCGTACGCTTACCATATTTGTAGATTATGGTATATTGGCCAATAAAAAGTCTTGAATTGCATTATCCAATGATCCAGTTTATAAAAAAGTCTGTTATCTAGGCTTCCCACGGTCAAGCGGTCGGAAGACCTTACTCATAAGAAAGACACAGCATTTTTATGAGCAGCGAGCCAAATGGACAGCTTTAATCGTTGAAGCACAAGAAGGCCCCCATTATTTGCCCTGAAGGACGCGCGTTTAGCCGCCAGCGGGAAGATTCAAGAAGAGTCGGGGAGAGGGTTGACGGGAGTCTGGCACTAATGACGAGGGCTTGCAAGGAAGCTATTGTTCTTTCATCATTTTTAGTGCTAGACCCCTCGCAGACCTCTTGTTCGCTTGCGCTGCTCAAGGTCTCGTAATTTTAGGCTGTAATCGTGGCTGATTCTTTGATGACCACTTGTTGTTTTTCTATCTATTTTAGTTCTGTTGGGATACCCGCTCTCCTAGACGTCGAGGACATGGTTCGTCTCAAAAAACCGGAACCGCGCAGTGTCCAGTGTTACGTTCAAATGATATTTAGTAAATATCGACCAAAGGATATGGACATGTCCAATCTTATTATAGCTTAAACAGTATTTGTTAGAAATTGGTTCCACTGAATTTTGTGAAAACAGTAGGAGTTTATTTTTTAAAGAGGGGCGCAACTTTTTTTTTAAGAGATCTCGTTCAGTGGACGTTGAGGCTGAAATCTAAATGTGAATGTTCTGTGTAGGAATCTTCTCATAATTTGATTTGATTTCGTTGGTGTTCGCATTGCATTGGCCATCACCACATTCAGTTTTCCGAGAGGAAAAGACTCTGTGGCCAATCGAACATTGTGGGGGACCTTATCAGCAGTGCAGATCGTTATTTGAGTAATCTTAAAAGTCATGTGCAACTACACGGTATGAATGCTCAAATTGAATGAATCTTAATATTGAACCCAGTTTCTATACAAATCCTTCGAACCTTTGAAACTTTGGGGTCTGGGAAGGAAAATGAATTAAGCGACAGAGATATATATCTAAGTCGAATTTCTTGGAAAATATCTGTTTCATACAAGATAATTATATTCATTCATAGTTAAGATACGTGATGCTTGAAGCTGCCGGGTACAAATAGGTCATCATGTATTTATAGAGTGTACAAGAACCGCCTGTTTGGTTGGCTTCTCAAATAATTTGATGAATCGATACAGTAGTTTTATGTAAGTAGAGTTATATTTTAATGTTATCGAGTAGAGAATTTTAATCAAAAGAATTGACTTTTACCTAGAAGCTGTCTCGTGCTTTTTTTTTTTCCTCAAGAGTCTGCTGTTTTCCATTTAAGCCGGAATAAGTTGACAAGTGATGGTCAGTTTTCCGTGCGTCAAGGCTATGACGCTGTTTTGAAAAGTTTACAAGCAGGCTATTGGTGGCCCGACACCAGCTGCAACACTTGCGTGGTTTGAGCCTGCGAGCGATATGAGCAAGTCAAAGCTCTGTGCAGGTGCTGGCACTTACACTAAGTCGCATTTTCGGTGCCAGACCCTTAGAGCACAGCAGTCAAACGTGAGGTCAGCCGCGCGCCAATTTCCCACGCAAAATTTCAAAAGAAAAGATAAGAAACGACCGCTGTCACGTCAAATATGCATCCTAAATCTTTAAAAGGAACTGAAAAAGTAGGGCAAAGGAAAGCTCGAGATTTCGTACATTAAGCCTATTTACCTACGGGTAATTTACCATTGTGATTAGAGATTTGACAAAGATCTAGAAGTTATACGGTTTTCAAACACCGCGACTTAGTCGCTTGGCTCAAAACACTCTTAAATCTCTGAGTGCACGCCACGCAGCCTATACAACGTTCGAATATGCGTAGAGTTTTGACCGCTGTCTTGACCCTTGATCGCTCGCCGTCTGGAATCTTGCGGGCTTCCCACTCGCAACGCAGCGCTGATGACGATCTTCCCGTAGGATGTGTCTTACACAGCGCCATAAAGAACAGACTTGAATATACATGACAACGCATATGTTCAATCATGTTTGAAAAGATCACTTGTTGCAAAACTACTATTCGCTTTGTTTGCCTCGTCATTTGATATAGGCGTCTGCTTAACCAGGAAGAGGGAGTATCCCTGTATTATTGACTAGCGAAGCCAACACTCACACCCCCATACTGACTCTTAACTTCGGGATTTCGTGGCTTTTCCATATCGCTAACGCTACTTTCGAGTTAAGAAAAAGTTTCCCCTTGGGGGGAGAGGATAAGGTTTCGTCACGGACTGTAAAGAGGTCCTCAGGTAATGAGAAAGAAGGAACTGGTTGTAATGAACATTTCACATTTGCTAAAATGCAATTCTGAAGTGTTCTCGTCGGTTCGGAAAACTATGTTCAGTTGAAAAGAGGAAGAAGAAGAAGAGAAAGAGAGAAGATTAAAAAAAAAGAGTCGCACAAAGACTTTTATTAAATGTATTCACCCAAACTATATTTGTACTTTTTTAAATACATGAAATAGAAAAAAAAGGAAAAAAATTAAAACATAGCAAACACAATCTGCGCATAACCTGAATCAGTGTTCTTAAAAGTGACCCGGCAGTTTTTCGTTTTATGTTCTCAAACAAATGTATCATATATACAAAGATGTGTTCAAGACACCAGTTGTGTGCTGCACTCGATCTGCGAGCTTTACATATAAATTTTTACATTTTCAAAACGTTATGTACAACTCAATAAGATCTATTCGCACCATTTAAAAATTAACTGTTGACTGTTTACGCCACGGCCTTTGCAGGCGGCTTCAGATTAAAACCTCCACCAGTGAACCTTGCTCCATCTGTTCTTTGTGAAGAGAAAGCGGGTCCAGTGGCCTGTTGGTAAGCTCTGTCTCTTTCCCTGAAAGAACAACATGACACTGCGTTAAATTTAATGCAAGGCACGAGTTAGCAAGCTTGCCCGAAGGCTCCCATCAGCGTTACGATACAAGCGGTAAAGCCCCCGTGATTCAAGCCAGAAAGCGAGGCGAGCATGCGAGACGTCTGTAAAAGGTTTTCGAACGTCTCACACGCGCGCATCCCTCGCTGCCTCTAAACCTACGGGTTCACCGCTCATCTACCAGTGCCAATGAGAGCCTGCACGCAGGCCACGTGGGTAACCCGAACTTGTCCTTAATTTCCTGCTCCCTCTCGGTCTCTTTACGGGTTTCTTTCTAATAACAACAATTTTCAACGAATCAGACCACACCCTAATTGTCGAGCCGTAAAGAAAGGAGTACGGATATTAATACAGGAGCTCTCTACAACCATAGCCATGTGATTGTTCGCGCCTCCTTCTCAAACTAAACATCACCAAGTGATCGTTCACGTTTTCCCCGCGCTTCAGACAGTGCGCTTGTTTTTGCCTTCTGTTCCAAGCGGCTCCTTGTGATAACTGTTGTTGCTCTAATGTGTCATTGTCGCCACTATGGTTCTCGTTTAATCCCTTACACCCTAACATCAGTATGCACATTCTCCCTACTATTTTTGCCTACATTTCCTACGGTGTCGTCAAGGAGAATTTGTTAAACAATCAACGGCTTCTTTAGTTGGCGACCATTTCCTTTATTCTCGTGACCACTGTGTGATTCAGGGGTGATATTGTGAGGAAAAATTCGATGCTAATGACTCTTGGAAGTTCAAGGGTTAACGAGACTCGAGTCGGTTGAAACACGCTGTAACAGTCAAATAACAAATGCGATTTTACCTGGCTTGTTGTTCTTTTCTCTTCTGCATGTAAAACTTTTTCTTGACTTCCTGTAGTTCTTTAGCTAGTCTTTCGATCTCGTACTTATATTCCTACACTTGTGCTTCGTACATATTCAGTTCAGATGACATTCCTTTCATCTGCTTTGTTTTTTCTTTGAGTGTTTGTTGGTAAATACTGAGTTGTTCAGCCACTTCCGGTCCGGGCTGGCGAGCGAGGATTTGTTTAAGTTCCATGTACAACTTCTCTTTTTCTTGGATAAGGAGTTCTTTTTCCACCACCTGAAAATATTTTGCAAGTATTTTAGAACCACGTAAAAGCTTAGTCTTTGGAGATAACCAATCCCGCAGTGAAATATAGAGACGAAAGGCTCTCGTTTTGGTGAATTGCAAAATACAATGAATTCATAAGAAATCGATGATTGTATTCACCGAGGTCCAGGGAGAGAGTGAGTTGCATTTTGCATCAATTCTGTACGTGTGCTTGAATCTTTTTGTCTCCAACTTCGAAGGAAATTTTATTTCGAGTTTAAGAGGCAGTTAATATTGGCTTGCTTTATTTTCATGCTGATATTGATCTAAAAATAAAAATAGAAAATCACTTGCGCCAGCCTTTGAATTTAGAAGTGGAATAAATCCAATAGTGAGAAGAAAACACGCGCTTTTGCACACCTCAAACAGTTAACTGGTTTACCCTCTCTGCTCCTTGCGATACTTGCCTTTGTTCTCATTAGGCTACAACTTTTTTTGTTGTAGTTGCTCGCTGTATCGAAAAACGCTATCTGATGTTATAGAGAAAGTCCGTTTAACGTTCACGGCATGCATCAGGACGCACGCGCAACAGAACAACATGACACTGACTGACCTCTTCAGTTTTCTGTATAAGTCGTCTTTGTAGAGTTTGAATCTTTTGAATCATTTCGTACGTGCTTGGGTCACTTCCCTGTGGAAACAAAGGTAAATGTTCAATATCTTGTTTTCAAATGTAACTTAATTCAACAGTAAAGCAATTTTCAATTAAGCGTCGAAAGTAATCCGGGAATGCATCGATTTTGATATACTTCGCTGCGATTGGTTAAAAAAAAAAAAAAACTCGCGCTACTCTCTTAACCAATCGGGGCAAAGCTAAAACCACTTACGACTTGGTCGCCGGCGTTTTCCCGCGCTTTCGGCAGTTTAGATGTTTTTACTTTGAGTTCTCTTTGGCTCTGCAGGTATGTTCCTTTCTCTGATTGGCTGTTGTACTTACTATGGTTTTGGTTTTACGACAATCGATCGAAAAGCCCTCTATTTCTAAATTACCTCCAGTTTTCTCCATCTGTGAATGTTCATCGGGTTTTCGAGTTCTTCTTCCAAAGCCTTACATCGGGTTCGCTCTCTGAGAAGCTCGCGCTGAGTATGATACACCTCACGCCTAAACGAAATGAAAAGCATACAAACATCAAGTTCTATCCGGAAGTTTCTGTAAACACCTCACAATTCTCACTCAACAGTGTTTTTTTTTATTTTTATTATTTTCTGATAAAAGGAAAAAGAGTCTCACCTCAAATCTTCTACGTTTGCTACACTCTTTGTGAGGATGTTTTTCTCGCGGCGAAGTTTCTTAATTTCAAGTTTTAACAATCGGATGTCTTCTAACCTCTGGCGGTATTGAATTTCGCCTGTGTAAAACAATACAACACATCACCTGGTGTTAGTTAATGTGGGGCAAAGCTGAAGTAAACAATGGAAACATTAAAACTGTTTGCAGATCAACAAAGTGGAACAAAAAACTTACTACTAGCCTGGATTAACTTTATCACTCTTAAATAGAACACCTCAACCAGAAGGTTAACCACAAAGGAGAAGTGACATCGAGTTCTCCGTGGTTTCAGATACTATTGAAGTATAAGGGAAGTAAAATACTTAAGTATTTATGGACAACGAAGTAAGCCTCACCTTTGTTAAGGGTAGACTGTTGTATTTTAATCTTTTCGTACAATAGAGCCAGTTCGTCGTTTCGTCTAACCAATTGTGTTCCCAAAATGTCTCTCTCGCTTATCACCTTAAATAAGAAATAAAGATTTTAAACAATTAGGTAAATTGGTTTTTAAAATTAAAAACAAAAACAAAAACAAAGACATAGTAAAAAAATTCATTGTGTCCATTATAACCAGAGACTCACAAATGAGTCACCTAATGTTACCCGTGTATGAGCCCCACCTGATCAAGTTCCTTCTTCTGCCGGAGCCTTTCAGCATCAGCTTCAGATATAATCTTGAGTAGCTTCCTCTCTTCCACCTCCTGCTGTTCGATGTAAGCCTTGGATTCTGCAGCTTGCTGTTTCATCCTCTGCAACTCAGCCTTGAGTGCATCCTTCTCTTTCTCGACCCTCTGATGCTCCAGATGTTCTTTGACCAGCGCTGCCTCTTTAGCCATAATCTCTTCCTTCAGTTGGTCGATCTGATGGTTCATGATCTTCAGTTTGCGTTTCATCTCTGTGATCTCATCCTGAGACTCGATCAGATTTTTGCTGTACAAGTTACGATCACTGCGGACGGCCTCGTAGAGATTCTGCCAAAG